AAGACTGGCAAAGATACAGGGATTAAGTGAACTTGTGTAATGATTGGACAGCAATAGCCAAAGAGTACAGTGGTAGAGATGTTTGTATATACAGGCTTTAATGGAAATATACTGTGACTGGAATACCTTTGTACATCTCCAAACAATAAAAAAAAATCTACCAATCAAAACTCGAATATGCATTCTATGTATTTAACATGCATTTATTGTACAACACCTTGGCTAAATTGTCTATATACACCTCCACACTTAGTCATATCAAAATAGGAGATAAATAGTTGCCTAGCAACAAAGCCTCATAGGAGTGGTCTCGATATGCTATCACTGTACAGGAAACATGAAGGGAGGCATGCCTCCACTTTTAGAATGCAGCCGTTTATTAACAGGGTGCCCAGGGAAGCCATCAAACTCTTTTGAAATGGATACACTGTATCAGCTGTAATGCAAGTCATAGATGCTTAAACTACTCTCTGTTCATCCACAATTTATCACTTTAGATGAGCTTGTGCATGGAACTGGCTTACAATTCAGATGACAATACACACCTAACAGAAGAAAATGTGTATTTATGGGGTGATGCTACAAGACTACAAGGCAACAGGTACAGATTTTGAAATCAAATGGTCAACAAAATGAAAGACAGAAGTCAAAAGGCTTAGTTAAGTGAGTGAAAAACCAGGTTTAATTTATTTGGTCTAATCCAACAGGACTAATCCCATTGACAAAATCAACATTTTATGAAAAACACAACTGGCTATAGCTGTTACCAATACTACCATTTGTCAAAGTTTTGCATACATTAGCGCAGGTTGCACAGCCTTACACGTATATCTCCACTACAGACACTAAATACAGCATACAAGCTCCAGCCTGAATAAAATGCTCTTTCTTTCTACTGATGAGCAATTTCACTCTTCATCTATTAATCAATTATGCATAATCCCCTGATACAGAGAGTTAGTGGCGATTCAACACAGTGAAGTTAAGTGTTTGAGTGCAAATGAACACATTAAAAGTGTTTATGCTGAAGAGAGTAAGTTATGATTTACTGAAAGAAAATATAAAGAGATGTGCAGAATATCTGACTGAGAACACTATGAAGACCACAAGTTTGGAGTCTACAGAGAATTACCAAGACCTGCCACATAATTGAAGATCTATGATCTATGATCTTAAAAATACTTAAAAAAGAAAATTATTCTATTGGTTTCATAACAAAAAAACTGAAAAAAACCCATCTTGCATACCAGTGCTCTGGGGTGTTTTAGCATCATTACTTGAAATACAAATAAAACCATCATAATATCCTTGGAGATGAAAAGCCCTGCTTTAGTCCTCCTAATTTGTTTATGTGGTTAATCAAAGTCAAAGCAAAGAACTGGAAACTTTCCATGAAAAAACTATCTCACTATTACTGCAACTTCTCCTTAAAGCTAAAACTTTACATTAAGACCGGCTATAACACAGGGAGGAAATGCAAAGCATTGTGCTGATGGCTTACTCAGTGAACATTTGATTATTTCTTCTTCTCTGGCATGCATCACTATCTCCCTGATGTTCTGTTTCTGTACATCTCTGAGTATTAGTCAGTGTGGTTGACGTTTGGTTGTCATTTGAGCGTCTCCCTTGGTGTCTCTGTACTGGCCAAGTCTGTAGCCCACATCGTGTGAAACGAGGTGCCAGTCAACAGATTCTTACACACAGTTACATCTGTAGTGTTAAATTGACTGGGAATTAAAACCTCCACCGTAGGAGATTGTATCACAACACACAGTGCTAGTGACAATAAATAGAGCAACACATCCATCCACCTTTAAAAGCTCATGTAACAGTTGCTAGTGATACAATATGATGACAGACACAGCATTTTAAATTTTAAAAGATATAAATCACTGTGGCACTTATGGTACAGTAAAGTTAGAAAACAGGTCGTAAACTAGGTTTGAAGTCTTTCGCCAGATCTTTAAAAACAAATATGTTTCAGTTTTTAATTTTCCAACAATAAAAAGCACTTTTATGGGGCTGCAATGCCTATTGGACTGGACTTGGAGATGACAGTTAAGCTGCTACAATAGATGAGGGCCAAGCTACAATTTTGGCAACAGGAGGACAGTAGTTCGGTCAGTTTGCCAGCTGTAAGAGAAGGCAGCTGAGACTAAACCGTAATAATGGCTTTATAAAGAGATCTGGCGAGCCAAACCAGATGGAGGAGACAATGTCACGTGCCTGCCTGGAACTCTCAACAGTTTGTTAGAAAAACAAAGACATGCATTCATTCAAAAAAATAAAATGATAAGTGGGATGTAAAACACAAGACAATGCTTTGTTTTGCGATATTATTGGAGAGAATTCTTCTGCATTTAGACTTTTTTCCAGTGTGCACATTGACTTCTCTCATTATTGCTGCAACCTCTCCTTAAAGCTAAACACATTCTCTAATTGATATTCAGCACATTTGGTGACTAAGGTTTCCCCCCCTCTCTGTAGTAAGGGCTTAACTTTAATGAAAGGGGGAGGTTGATTACAAATCGGGAGCACAGACTCAGACTCCATCTCCAGGGAAGAGTGTAGTAGACAGTGTTGCATTGGGGTTTCAACAACAATAAAAGAGAATGGTGAAAAAGGAAACAAGCATTGGATGATGCACACATCACAGTGTCCTTAAAAGTCACATTTCCCTGGGTGTTCAAGTGTCAAGTATCAAGGACAAGGAGAAAGGGCTAAAAATATCCTTGCAGTGTTAAGACGGGTACCGTCACCTCTAAAATGTGTCAGTGCCCACATAACCATCCGACCCTGGACTGGTATGTGAGGTTACAACTGTGATGGCTAATCTAAATCTTTGACTAAAGTGGTAAGTAGTGATTGACTTAAGGTCATGTTGGGTGATGTCATACATGAGCCAACCTCAGAACTTGTATGTGGAATACAGCTTTACTGAGGATAGAACACAACTGAGAGAACAACACTGTACAATACTTAAAAAAAACTAAATATATAGTAAACAAAGCCAAGTTAGCATTGCTAAGACGAGACCTGCATGTGTTAACCACCAGCTTAGTGTCATCGAAAATCAAAGAAGATTTGTCCTGAAAAAAAGTAGCAGTATTACTGCAAAATGCTCAAAAACTCAGATTGTGCTCATATGACGTGAGGCGACACCAACACATGTGGTGTTACTTTTTATGGTCTACCAAGAGTCACAGAGGGATGGAGTATTGGAGCTGTTCAAACAGCACTGCCCTGCATATCCCAGGTGATCCTTTTTATCTCGGCCATTTACTCTATTGGTATCCCGCCACTCCTTTTGTTGATTTAAATATTCTGGGGTCTTGTTTATCGTCAAAACAGATTTATTGACTTGATGATGGAACGCTATTATTAAAAAAAAGGTGTAAAAAGTTCAAATTGATAAATTAATGGTTATATTTGGAAACCATGTGACATTTCTTGAGCCAGGATCTATATAATAACTCATCCACACTACTGCAGCAACATTACACACGCGCGTGTGTGTGGGTGTGTGTGCGCGCCTATGAGACAAGTAAAAGGAGAAGCTGAGAAACAAAAGAATGTGCAAACAACCCAAAACAAACAAGCAAGTGCTGGGAGAGACTGTCATGCAACTCAACTCTAAGCAGTGGTGAATGGAAGATACCAAATACAAAATATACCAGTTACTACATAAAGCCATCACATTCTCACTTACACAAACCTCTTGGACCTCATACTACCTGAACCGCAACAGAATACTTTTCACACAAATATGGTATATATACATTTTTTCTATCTGCAGTCTCTCTTACAACTCAGCTAAACTCAAGTCCAGCCACAGCAAGCTGTACCTTCCTGACTTGCTGCTGGCGTTTACTGCAGGTAGGAGAAAGAATGACCCAGTTATGAGACAAACTATTCCCCACAGAGAGAAAGAAACAGAAAGAGACAGACAAGGAAAAAGGATGAAGATAGGTAGTAGAACAGGAAAGGTGCAAAAGAGCCCTGGTCATCCCAAGAGACCAACGATGCTCAATGATTGGATGACAGTTTGCAGGGTAGGAAGCAGTGATAGGAGGAGAGGTAGAAGAGGGGTGACCTGTAGTGGTGTGTCCCCAATTGCTATAATAGATCTTAAGGCCTCATATGTATTTATGACTGCTTAGCTTGAGTCTTTCTCTGCATTAACCAACTTGTAATACATGAACAAAAGAGAATGTAGCCAAGGATGAGCTTGGACAAGCTGGACTGCATGAAAAATAAAAATTAGAGATCTAAGAAATGCACATCTCAACTTTCACACCATGTGCTATGATGTATTTTCATGACACCACAGAGTCTCGATTTTAAATTCAAGGCTGAAAACTGTTCCACAGAAAATGGCGTTTGTTCACTGATTATGGCATTTATTTACTGCGATGGATTATTCCAAATACTTCCAGAGAACTAAACACAATCACTGGAAAGGAAGAACATAAAAAATAAGAGGCATTTCTAAATCGAGCTCTCAAGCAGTGCTTTCTCAACCAACACTAACCATTTGCCCATCTGGCTTTATCAGCTAAATGACAATTACATGCATATGAGAGACTTTTGTCATTTATCATTGAAAGATTGGAGGAATTTCTGTGGATAGTCTCTATTGAGGAGGGAAATATATGCTAATCCCTTTTAGATCAACAGGCATTTTCTTCTCCAAAAGTTTGGCATTGAAAAAATTGTCCAGGCACTACTCACAGATTCATGAGAAGAAGCTGTATCATAAGTTTATGAATATCTTACAAGATGACTGGAAAAAAAAGCCAATGACCAACGTGTTTATATCATTCATTTACATGAATGCTTTTCATTATTCAGGAACGTGGCCACCTAAATTTTCCCCTTTTAAATCTAAAGCCTTTTAAATCCAAACAAAGATTGAAGAAAATAGACACTAAAATAACTCGCATTTCAGCATACTGCCACTTACTAGTACTCTTCAGTAGTAGCAGACTCATTAAATTAAACTATTTCATCACCACCACTAAGCTGTCATATTTGTGAATCTTTACCAGACTCCTGTTGGCTTCCTGTCGAAGGGAAAAAAAACTTTGTAAATAAAAATAATACGATAAATTTCCTGAGTCAATCTGAGTGATTGCTCTTGGCTATTCTGAGCTCCATGGGAAACCCCCGTTCTTTTCATCATCTTTCTTTTGGGTTTTTCTCAGTCCTTTTTCCATGTCTCTTTAACTTTGAGCCCCCCCCCGCGCTTAATTATGGTTGCATTTTTAGCTATAAATGCAGGCAACCCTCTTCTCCATGCAACACTTTCAATTCTCCGCCATTCCCCTGCTCTCAACTCTGTCAGCTCTGTTTAACATTAATTTCATCTTACTTTCCAATTCCAACTCAACCCCAAATCTCTCCTAAAAAGGGATGCTTAGGTTTCCAAATTCAATAAAAAAGTATTTTGTACTACTTGCCATTAATCAGCAAGAAGAATTAGCATGCAAGGCAACTGAAAGTGGTTATTTGCTGTGGCATGCAAAGCAATCACAACCTTGGGATCTTCTTCCCAGACAACTAATCGACTCCACTTCTCATTAGCCCCAATAGTTTTTAAACACAGAATTGACCATAAACTACCTTTACCATTTAGACGAGGTAGGAGGGCCAAAGCAAACTTTCTGCTTTAAGCACTTTTCAGCAGATGTGTGATGTATGGAGAAACAATCAGCTAGGAACAATGTCTCAATAACAAAGCTGAGAAAAGAAGTAGCATAAGGTGAATGAGGGTGGCCCAGGCTGTCGGGTGTTCACATGCACCAATTTCGATCTCTACAACAAAGGAAAGAAGTGGTAACAGACAGCACTTGAGAAAAAAAAACATCCATACTAATACCGTGTGTTCAATCAAGCTTATAGATATGAACTGGACAGCACAAGTGCCTGAAAACAAGGCAACTTTAATTAGATACTAACACTCACTCAGTTTATTGTACAGGCACAATATCTGCACCATCTTGTCCCCAAAGCTGGTACTGAATATATCATAATATACTCACATATTTGCATCTGTGGATCCCTGTTATACATTCTTCCCTGTACATGGCGAGCCGCATGCGTCTCCATGGCAACCCAAGCTCCACTAACTGGTGTGGGAGCAATCACACACACACAAAGTGCTCAAGAAACTAGGAAGACTGCTGACAAATACTTAACCGTCTGGGAACATTGACATGCTGGGAATAGTGACGGGATACTGCAGCGGATTTTAGACCGCTGGCAAGGAATGAATGGACAACTGGGTCGAGTTGTAATGGCTACCAGCCAAGGTGATGATAGCGTGCACGTGCAGCTGTGTGCACCTCACTTGGACAGCATTGTGTTTATAGCATAATAGGAGTGGGAGGCAAACTAAAATCATAAACCACTGTCAATACACACGCACATGATTTCTGTTCATCCAAGAGCATATTTCATCATTAGCTTTAAGCAGTTAATCCTCTGCTCCACTGACCACGGCTCAGCTCAGCCCATTTCAATAATATGCATCCGGGGCTAACCAACCCATTATGCACATATAGAGATGAGCACACACACACCTAAAACAAGGACACAATAAGCTCACAAAACGTATGGTACAGGTCCAGAGCAAAAACCACTGCAAATACTCACCCACCCACCAAGTATGCATAACTAATCAATTGTACTGAAATAAAATCTGATAAGGAGACAACCTTCATGTTAAAAAGGAGACGTCAAAGATAGACAGTGATCAGAAAGTGATTGCTATAGATGAAGATAGAGGTAATGAGACGGTAAAGTCATTGTAAGCGGAACAGAGAATGAAAGAGAAATTTACAGGGGTTGAGTCAAAAGTGAAATTGTTACCTTTTCTTTTTCTGCAACAAACATCAACATTCTGCTGTTGGAACTGACCAATTTCTCAACTGACACAAAGCCGCTCTGACAGCCTTAAATGACTGAGTGCCATATGTTTCTATATGACCAATCTCATTCAAGGAGCTATAGTTTTATGAACCATTTCCCCACCTTCCCTCCACGATATTCAAATGATTTTTTCATGTTCTTGCTTCATTGTCATTTAAATAACTGCTCCTATTTTTTTTTCTTACTGTGCTTTTACCTTCTTTATTTCCTCACTTTAACTGGGACAGCTTCTGCAGTAGAGGTAGTGGTTAAAACGTGAATATAATACAAAAACATTCTGCTTTTTGCCTTCAGCAAAATACTGACAAATCCGTTCTGGATAAGTCTTTTCATTATTTTACCTTCCCAACACTTCCAAAACACAAGCCTGCTTTTTCTGCATTTTGAAAGAACTCTCAATATATTGTTAATACCTATAATACAGACACACTTTACTCTTTCATCCTCTAGCTTTACATGTCCAGTCTTCCCCCACATATTTAACGCAACTGTTGATGTCAAGTTCAAGGTTAGATGCTCATTTTATTGAGTGCCAATGCTCCCCCATTGGGATAACAGAGGGGAGATGCATTAGCACCTCAGCAGGTGGTTCACAATCTCATTTCTTTCCTTTTTTTGTCTCTTCTTCTTCCTTAACACTAACCTCTTGTCCCCAAGCATATCTTTCATACCACTACCCCACGCACATAACTGGCAGGCCACCACCCAGTAGTGCATTTCTGCCAAGCAGAAAAAGGTATACAATCTTTTCAGAGACCTGTATGTATCCTTGACTCTTGATATATTCAAGTGTTTGAAATTGTTTGTCATAAAATTATCTCCACATAAACATCTATCTCATGTGTGTTGTATGACCAGATGACCATAAACTAAAACCAAACCTACAGGGGGTTAAGTCTTTCCCCTTGACCTGCCACTGTGTATTGACCTGCAATAAATAGGTTTAAACCTTACCCTGCCACAGCCTTTTATCTCCATCACATCTTCAGCCCTCACATCTTCATCACAGACCAATAAACACACAAACTGACCAACAGACAGGCTGACAGAAGCCATATGGTCCATTCACTTCCAGAGGCAGGAGGTAGCCATCAAAGACTCTCACAGCAACTCCACTCAGCCATGGACAGATAGACAGAGGGAGGGAGTGAGATGAAGGGAAACGGAAGAAGGTTATTATTAGGGGAGGGAGAATGGAGGTAAAGAAAGGCAAGTAAAAGAAATTAAGAGATAAGAAAAAGATAAAAAGACATTTTAATTAAACAAAGTGTGTTGCTAGGTGAAAAATAAATTCAGATTCAAGTTTTAAGTATGGTTTAAGTCTGTAAAAAAACAGGCATGTCTGTAAATATAAGCATGTACAGAATCCAAATGGTTTAAAACTGCCTGTTTTATCCCCACGAGGAAATGTTAGAAATACTTTCTTAGGCATCATGATAGACAAGGACAGACTCGATATCTGTGAATGCTGTTCAAGAAGTGTTGGGTCATGAACATTTTTAATTGAGAAGATTACCTTCAAACTGGAAGATCAGAGCATAATTTGTTCATTTCTCAAGACAAATGTAAAAGGAAAAAAGATAAATTGGATGCAGGTTGTTTACTGAATAATCACTCCCCTTCACAATTTTATCTCCAGAACATAACAGATACAGCACAAACTGATATTTAACAGAAATGGCATAAGATGACAAGTTTATCTACAATTGATGTCCTGGAAATATCAAAGTTAAAGTGAAGGTTTAAATGGGCAATATGTAATGCACACTTTTACAGCTTTAAAATGAGTTAGGCTATAACCAAAGACATGATACAACCCGTTTTCTCATTGTTCCACAAGCTTCAATTGCAATTTAGAAATGTAATCTAACCCCCATTATATTGCACAGTTTTACTAGAAAATGTAATTTAATTCACTCAGCTCTCCTGACCAGCTCAACTTCCTGATGTCATAAACTTGACCCTGTAAACACTAAAATGTAGCTCACCCCGACAGGACTCCATTAAAGTCCATGCACTTTATTTTACTGTTATGCTTATATTCATTCAGGCTGATGTGTTTGTCACAAGACCGTAAATAACTGAAAATGTAGAGTGAAAAATGAACTGTGCTAGAGAAGATCAGAGAGACGGAAAAAGAAGTGCATGGAAAGATGGAACAAGTAAGGTGGAGGAATGTATATAAATCAACTTCCATTAGCCATGAGGTTATAAAGTCACAGATGAAGGAGGTGGACTTCAACTCAGACTTTTTATTGTCTTGTTGTTGTCCTTTATTGCCAGTGATGTCATCTAATGGTATACACTTAATGACAAGGAGGGGAAATGTGTATATGGGAGGGGAGGATGGGATAGTAATGTGCTGTGTGTGCACGCCTGTGCTGACATGTAATATTGATCGCTTTTGTGTGAGTCTCTGAATGGGGTTTTTGCCTAAATATACCATATGTGCACAATCTGCTTTCCAATTCTGTCAAGTTTGTATGAGAACAACAGCAAAACCTAATATGCAGGATGTTGGCAGTAAAAAAACTGGAAATCATAATCTCCCAATTTGTTTTGAAGAGTCATAATTAATTTGACTATTTTCAAAACATAAAACATTGTGGCCTCAACCATTTTCCTGTGTGAAACAAAAACAACTTTAACAGACTGGGACGAGAAACGGGGCTAATAATAAAGTGTCTATTAATGTATTATTCTCATCACAATAAAATTTTTACTTTCCGTTTTTCTTATTGGAACTACACCTACGATCTCTACTCCTTTCCCCCTTGTGTCCTGTTCTGCAGTGTAGGCTATTTTTGTTCAATCCCCTTTCCTTCCCTTAGCCTTAAAGGGGTGTGGGAAAAAACACAACAGGATGTTGGTGTGCAAATATGTGTCAAAAGGCAAGGTGAAAGTAAAGGCCCTGCCATGATCTATCACACTTTGCAGCAGAGCATCATCCCATTAGCTCTGAAAAGGACTGTCACACACATGGGCATAGGGGCATTAATGGAGTCTAAGGATGGGAGCTACAACACCCCACCCCCCAGATTATACCATACTGCTTAAATTGTTTAGTCAAGGGCCCTGACAATGCAGAGTATGATGTGTTTCAAGGGACAGATAGTTTGGTCAACACAGTTAAAAACTCAAATTGGTAATACTTGGTATAAAAGTACAATTTGTTTGCAGATCCTCAATGTGAGGATAATACACTAAATAAATCAGTGTCAGAAAGCCTATTGTCATTATTTGGATAGTGTGTACATTTATCTTAATACCTTAAGAAATGATTTATTTTATTCTGATTTCTTAAGTTGCTAACAAAGACATTAGAAACTTTTTCTAATCGATTCTGCAACATGCTGATCTGTGCAGTCTTGCAAGTTCTTCAACATGCTGATGTGAGCTGCAATCTTCCCCCAGGGTAGGGCTCTGAATTCTACACAAGTCCAAAATGAGGGAAAAGCACAGAGGATACTCCTGATCCTGTGTCTATACAAGTATGTGTATGATATACGAGGAGCGGATGAGGAGGATGTTCAAAGATATCAGATAGGCTTGGCTGTAGGAATAAAACTCCCTAAGGGGCTTGCTTAATCCCCTCTCCCCAAAACAAAATCACTATTTTTCTCCATGGTAAAGGACACACACTTACACTAGTCCATCTCCCTCACTGTCAAGCACACTCACACACAAATACACACACCTTTCTGGTGAAAATAAAGCAAACTCAGCTGATTTGCTTGAAAGCCAATCTGCCCCACGTCTACCCATCCACCAAGTCAGCAGCCCACCCTTACTCCACACCAACAGAGAAACCAAACCTTCTTTTCCATCACTTCAACTTTCCCTGATCCATTACACACAACATTCACCCCCTTACCTTCTTGACTCGTCCACTTTTTGTACCCACGAAGACTAATGAGTGATTCTTGTAGACGTAGGCAATCACAGAGGTCATTTTGTCAGCAGCGTCGGAGAAGAGAGGCTTTCCACGCACCATCTCAGACACACCCAATGGTGCGTTCATGTCCAGACCACAAAAATCATCATCAATGGTCAGGAGCTTAAAAGGAGAAAAAGAGACAGAAAACACAAACTCGGTTAGACTCGGTTATAAGGTTCGACCTGTTTTAGGCCCAGGCTACTGTTTGGATAGAAAGCTTGAGGTGGTAAAGTGTTCTGCAGGTTATTGAAGGTAGAACTGCAGGGGACAAAAACATTGAAAATCAAGGTCAAAATCAGTATAGATCAAAAGATAACATGTTACTTAAAGTTAATGTGAAGTTTCCTTATGATAAATAGAACAAATATATAAGCAAGTAAGAGAGAGATGAAGATAGAAAAAGACTGTACAGACAGGCACTAGATCTTTAATAACGCCAGAGGCTGCTCTGTCAGGCACAATTCCCCATCGGCCACCCAATAAACAGAAAGTGCAGAAATGCAAGTGTGGCAAAAAATACAATGTGAAATGATTCAAAGTGAATTCATGGAAATAAAGTGCTGCAGTATTAGAGGACTGTGGGGCAAATCCCAACCAAGCGTTTAAATGCACACAAACCAAATGACGGTAGAGAGAAAGACATTCAGGGTTATGCTTTCAGTGTGGCATGGTTACATTTTAGGTATATATATATATGCATTTTAATTATATACAGATAGTTACACCTGATTGTGAAATTGACAGTGTATTTTCACCAATGAGAGTGGGTAAGGTGTTTGGGTAATTATTCAGCATGATTGGATTTGAAAAAGCTTCAGACTTAAGCAGGAACATTTATTTACATGTTATTTATATGATTTATCGTTTACAAATTTGGTGGATTGCAGTAGGAATGTTTCTCAAAGGGCAATGCAGTACCTTTCTTTAAAATATGAAAATATATATATATTTTTTTTTAAATGGCTTAAATGAAAACATGTCAGAGAGCTAAATTGGCTTGTAGATTAAATAAGAAGAAATGGAAAGCTCTGGGGGGCCCAATACGTCGTCTTTTTGAGAACGTCTTAATTTCCATTTTTCTTCCAGGAAGTTTAGCCTTCAGGCTTATGATAAGTCTGAAAGGGTTTAGTCTCAAGTCAACCTATTACTTAGGGCCATAAAAATCAGACCAAGACCAAAGAATTATGTGGCTGTGGTCCAGCATGGCTGGTCTAGGACTTGGGCTTGTGGCAAGAGAGTGAGGTCATGTGGAGTGGCATGAATGATCGATATAGACTACTTAAATTTTGGTCCTCATCACAGCATATGGTTAAATAGTTGATAGGAAGAGAAAGAAGATCAACACTGAACTAGATACCAAGAAGACAGTAAACAGATTGATAACAAAAAATATCAAAAGTTTTGTTTCTGCAGGCCCGGAGTCTTTCCTCACCGTTCAAAAATGAGCGACTATCAGGAAGATGCTCCCTGTCCTCCTATATGCAGCTATCAGCTGGTAAACTAATGGTTCACTACTGAGAACCAAGGTTCCTAACAGTTTTATACAGCTACTTGTGATATCTTTTCAGTGTTACCCCTTGTTTATGTGAAAGCCAAGACACCCCCCTTCATGTTGCCATCAAGTAACTGAGGATGCTCATAATTGAGATCAAATATTAACAGTGTTCATCACAAGCAAGATGCTGTACTTTCCAGAATTTATTTTTCCAATGATTGAGGGTTTCCTTAAAATATTCTTTATCCATAGATTCATGGTAATGTCGATTTATTTGGTTGTGTGTGTGCTTTTTGAATTTATGCTTTTGAGTTTCTGCTGGTAGTCAATCAGTTATGTAGCTTGGTTATGTCGTACGATGAAATTCACTTTTCAGGAAGCAGGCATATTTTCCTAATTCCACCATCAAAAAATTACTTTTTCTTTCAATTGTTTTATATCTTAATCAAACCTTCTTGGCAGTCCAATAATCTCTCCTCAAACTTTGTTATATTTCTAATAAAAAAATCACAAAGCAACACAAACAAAAAATTAACAAGTGAGCACACTCAAGCGCGGGGTAACAGTTGCACACATGTGAAAATGCGTTTACCTGTATTGACTTGTAACTGACCAGCTACTCTTACAAGTACAACACAACATAAACTATTCTTTGTTTAAGTCTAACAGGTTAGTGCTTTACAGTGAAGAAAGCAGGACAGACGTGAAGGGTTACACCTAAAGACGGAGACAAGGGAGCAGAATCTCTGTATCTGGGCAGAGGCCAGGCACTGAGGCAGAATCAGGTCACTCTCAGCTGTATCCATCTCTCTGCTTGTGTCTGGCTGCCAGCATGAGCACAAAGAAAGCTCTCTTCTGGACTGTGCAGAGGGATCAGCAGATACAGACTAAGTAAAAGGAGAGGGGTACTGGGCAAACGAAAGCTGGAGTTGCTCAATGCGATTAGGGGGAGACTGAAAGAGATCTGCTCCCCAATGTTCTCTGATGTATGGCCTAATCTGGGCTTGTGCAGCTAAGGCTCATTTCATTAGCTTTAAATTCACAAACTTAAGGGCACACGTTAGACAACTGACACACTTCCCCTCATGTCACTGCTCAAGCATTAGTATCTCCAAAAAGAGCCAACAATTCCTGATTATGTAATCAACTATGCTTCCTGCAGTTCCCTTAATGGTTTGCTTTACTAATCCCTTTTCTAATTCTGTCACAGCACATCAGATCAACCTCATCAGTCATTATTCATCATTTGTTGTAGTAATGTGGAAAACGCCTTTCATATGAGTGTATAATCATATCCTAAAAATGTGGATATCCACCATTACTCTTTCCCTGCTGAGCAAAAGGAAAAACCTGCCAGGACGATTGGAGAATACTGTAAAGAGTACCATATTCATATTAAGATATGTTTTGAACATTAAATTTAGCTTAATTCAATATCTGCTGAACGTGTCGAACTTGCTAAATGAAGTCACTTTGAAGTAACAGTGAAATAAAATGTCATCCAACAACCACATCAACAACTAGCAGTTCATAACAAAGGCATTCTGAATACAGACACTAATATAACCCTTCCAGCACTTCTCTTTGTTGCATTGATGTTTTGTCTTTTTTTAGTTTTGCTCAACTGTCCTTAACTTAACAGTCAAGTCATCACCAAAATTGACAGCCACCCATCTTTATAGCAGGGTACAAATATTAAATGCAAAATGATAATTGTCAGGGAGAGTTTCGCAAACTAATATTTACACAGCCCAAATATTTGTAGGGTGTTCAAGATAATTTGTAAATACATGTTTGAGAATGCTGGAATTAGCTAAAGTAGATATTATAGTTTGACAGATCAAAATAAAAATTATAAATACGAAAAAAATTCTAGTGGAAATTTTTCATTTTGATCAAAACTGATTCAAAGCTGAATGAGCCACCATGCATCATATGCATGATGCTGGTCACATCTGTGTGCTTCTGTTCTATACAAATGCTACTGTACTTTACATAAATATGTACAAAGTGTACATTTAACTAATTTCCATTTTTCTTCTGTAGGTTGCTGGATGTGATCGGTTTTCTTTGTTTCAAAAGCAATAAATAAAAAATGTATGCTTAAATTATGTTTTGCAAATGAAGCTTAGCAAACCATGAACCATATCTATGGTTCATGCCAAATTTTGACACTTTAAACGATAAGGAAAATCAAGGAGAAAATCAAGGGGGAAATCTTCACTTTAATCTGTATTTTCAGTCAGTCACTGCAGTATGGAGTATGATGAAAGAAGCATGAGACACTTGTTTAATCACAGAATAATGATATTGTGATGGATTCTGACCTTTAGCAAGTGGTACCACGTATGAAGATTAGCATGTCCAGCAAGCAAGTAGGATAGCAGATATGTGGATGGAGTGGGGTGCAGTTGGGGGCAAGGGGAATAATCTAGAGGACTTTAATGAATGTGCTAGCCTTTCCCTTCCTGAGGATGCGGCTTAGACTGACTCATCAGCAGCAGGTCACTGATTAGGTTTCACAAGCAGGCAGAGAATGGATGACCAGCATAGGTTGGTCAGAGAAAATAATAAAATGATCAAATAAAATAATGAATAACATGATGAGCAAAGGAGAACTTAGTATGTGTTAGTGAAAGAGTTCCTTTCAAGTGAAGGATGAAACGGTGGAGAATGATCAGAGGTTGGAAAATGCAAAATACATCAAGAAAACGAATGAAAGAAACAGCAGTGACCAAGTAGAATAATCTAATTAATGGAAGTGAATTCAGAATGTGAAGTCGATACTACATAACAAATGTGAAAGAATAGCCCGTGACATGTCAGTTAATGATATGTAATTAATGATCATTAGAACAAGGCATGAGGGGATGGCTGTGGCCTGTCAGAGACTTACAAGAAACCTTGCAATTTTCCTCCTCTCGTTTTTTTTTCTTTTTTTGCAAGGGAGGGTCACTGTCTTTTTCCAAAAGGTACAAGAAGGGGAAATAAAGGGGACTTTTGATAGAGTGAAGGAAAGTGATGGCCTCAAGCATTTTTATATGACAATGAAAAGAGACATGCAAAAGCAGGATGAGTGCCATATGAGGTGAGCAATGAATCAAAGATAAGAGAGAAGAGAGCAGCAGCAAGTAAATTTACTGCAATGCTGCTGTTTTGTTGTTCTGTTTTTTTCTTTTTTGCTGACACAGTGAACTTTTTTTTTTTTTTAGGTCACATGCCACTTCACAATGATCTATGGATGGAGGCCCTTTGCAGACTTATACTGTTGAGCACGCATTATGTGGCTCAACCAAGCATGGCCATTTGGGGGAATGAGGGAGTAACCCCTCCCCCCGAACACACTTTCCTTCCATCTATCCTCTCATCCTTTCTGCTGTAAAATCTTTTTTTCTGTCCTTCACCCACTACAACTGAAAGCCTCTTAAAAGATGGTGTAAGACATCAAAGGTCTTGTGGGAGCAAGTGTTTTTATATGCCCAAAACAAAGCCATGTCCTCATGTCCTTGCTAACATTTAAATGGATAATTCCATTATCTATAACTGTAGACTGTTGCCATCTTATAAAAAAGTTCCACTTAAAAAAGTTTGGTTTGAAAACAAATGGCAAGATGATGACACAGATTTATAGTATTATAATTGACAAATAAAATCTGATAGCTGCCATAGTATATGTAATAATGCATATTATTATCTATGAAAAACAGCTGTGGTACGTGTAAATGTGTGACAGATAAACAGCTTTTTAAAGTGTATTATTCCCCCTTTATCTATTTAAAGGCAACAAAACATAAGACATTGTTGATTGATAAGGTTGCTACAGTTTTAGATTTATATTAAAAATGTGTACATCTCAGTGTGTTTATTTTGAATAAGATATATAGACAACCCTAATGAGCCTTGGGGCGGCACACCTCTTCCTAATTAATTGAAAAACACATCACATTCGAATATAATGGTGTCTGACACCAAAAAAAAAAAGTGTCAGAGAAAGTGAGGAACTGGGTACACATTGTGAAGAAAAAGAAACAATGAGGAAGGTAAGATCATTTCCTTCTCAGTTTCTTCTCATCTTAGATTAAAAGCCAATACTGTGACATGCAAGTTACCATTAACAGGGGGAAAAATGTTTTTCCCCTTCAAAATTGGGACCTCATTAATTCATTGTCATTGTAATTCATGCAGAATCCCCGGAATGCACATGGCAACAAAAAGTCCTGATACGAGTCCCTCAACGAGTGCATGTCTTTGTCAGAACTCATCTATCTTCTAGAGGGTCCAACTTTAGTTGTTCAGTTGGGTCTAATTTATGCAGGTGGAGCATGCTGAAATGGCATAGTTTCTCAGTGCTAACTCCTGCATGCTTTCTCACACTTCCTTTCGTTGCCTACAGTTCCACCCCAGGCATAATTTATTAGGCACTCAAGCTTCAGACAAGATTACCCTGGCACATGTGCAAGCCAGAGACAGATTAATAGAGAAACATGGTGATTGCACAACCAAACATAAACAGGGTCAACTTCATAATGTCTCCACATAGTGCTTGACGAAAGGTCAGAACAATATGGTCTCAGCAGCAAGAAAATACAATTTATGTTCAGGAAATATGTCCAAGTCATATTCTATTCTTTTAGGTTTATTTGCAAAGCTAGACATTAGTTTTTGTGTGAAAAATGGAAAGTAAAAATGAAAGAATACTATAGTACTTGATGTTATTATCATTAGATTTCTTTGCCAATCTTATACGTTTATTAATTTAGTATAAATGTATATATATGCTCCTTTTTCATGTAGTGTACTCAATCATTTAATATTTTAATGGTTTGTGCACTTTTCTACCCCCAAAAAACTACAATTTCCAACTATCCAGTTGGAACACTAATTTGACTGTTCTTCACCATTTGCAAGATTTTCCATCATGATTGCTAAACAAATATACCACACAATAAATTCACTGTGATCAATTTATTTTTGTATTTCCTGAACCTTGCAGTTTTTATTCATAAACGTAAATGAGATGAATACAAAAAATTCTGACACAGCATTGGGTGCTTGGGAATGTGGCCTAAATATTTAACACCTAAAATAACCTTGTTTTTTTTGCGCACAAACTGAGAAATCAAATTAATTGGACCACTGAATTTGTACTGCTGTCATGGACAATACTATTACGGTAACTGGCTGTGTGTTCAGGTGCACTGTTTAAATTATGAGAGGATTAAAAGAGGGGCTGGACGGTTAACATCTCATCGTAAGGGCATGATACATGAACCCCTGTACATGAATAGTGAGTGAAACGCGTCTTCTGTAGTGCAACCAAGTTCACAACAAAAACACAAGTGAGTCTAAGGTCATCTAAGGCCAACAGAGACACAGTTCCGTAGTAAATAAAAATAATAATGATAATAATTTATATTGGTTTTTAATACGCCTTACAAATGTTCAAACTTGGAGTTTTATTAGCTACAGCCATGGATATCTTTGCACATTGTGCACTAAAAGAGAGCTTGTGACACCATATATTTGAGAATTAAGAACTCCCAGCTCAACATTCTTGTATCTTACACCGTTTCATCTGTAATTATTTCCTCCAAAAAAAACAAAATCCTTGTTTTTGCACAAGTAATAGTGTCATTAAAATAATACGGTCAACAAAGTTATAAATCTCTGGTGCCTTAGAAGTACTCACCGCGCTGCTGCAGTGAACGTCTTTCACTTTCAGCCAGGCCAGGTCCAGTGTGCCCTCTCCCTTGTAGCAAGACTGCAGCCTTTCCTTGATTTTCTCATTGATCTTTCTCAGAGAGAAAACACATAGAGCAGAGTCCTGGGAGGCCTGCCGTGGACGTCTCTTCTGGCCTTTTGAGAAGATGGCAAACAGCACATCATCATCCGGTGCCACATCTAGTGAGCGTGCCAAAATGGAACCAGCTTTTGAAAGGTAGGCTGCCTCCAGTAGTCTGTACTCCACATTGCCACTAATGCAACCAATAGGTACCTCAACATAAGAGTTGAAAGCAGTGTCAGCCTTACAGAGGCGGACTATTTTGGAGGTGTAAACCTGTTCCCGACCAGAAGAGGAGGATCCAGTGGCTGGTCCACCTCCCATTTCGGGCTGTAATGTGAGGAAGTACACAAAGTTCCCACTGGCAAAGCCATAAATGTAATATATGTCGAATTCTGGAATAACTGTGAAGGTATCTGAGGGAATTTTAATCAGTGAAGCGACAAACTCATCATGGAAGACATAGGCAAACATCCCGTCCTCCTCCGAGTTCCTGGTCAGCTTTCGGCTTGAGATGGTAGGGAAGTATTCTGGCTTGCCATCAACTGCTGTGGCTATAAAGAGCATGTCTGGAGAAGCATTGCCATACGAAACAATGACACCAAACACAGAGCCACTCTCATTTACACCAGAGAGGTAGTGCTCTTTCTTGTGGAAGGGCTCTCCAAGCTTGAAGAGGTCATCTAGACGAAGGAGTTTGCAGATGCCTTGGTATAGGCTGCCACAAGCCAGCAACCGGTTCTCCTTATAGTCCATCAAAAGCATCTTATTGACATTGTTGGTGAGTGTCAATGGCTCACTGCAGGGCTGAACAATACGTGGTGGATAGCACTTGCGGTTATCATCGTCTGGACCAGTCTCGTGGAACTTCTGGACCTCCAATGAAGGAGACAGTTTGTATATGCGATTTACAGCTCCCAAATAAACATTGCCATTCCGATAATCCACAGCTAAATGGTTAAATGTCCACTCTGGATTTTCAGCATGAAATGAGGAATATTCCTCTTCCTCCTGTAGCAAAGCTGTGATCACTTGGGAGTCAGCACTTTGAGCCTGTGGGGTCTGCACCACTTTTTGTGATTTCACAGGAAGCACCAAGCTAAACAGGAAGCAGCATACAAAAAAATAGGTCCGTATCCTTGTGATGGATGTCATGGCTGTGCTGATGATTGGTCTGGTGAGGAGAGACAGAGGCACAGTCCAGTACCGTCAATCTGTCGGGTTTATACCTCTGTCGAGAAGCAGGACATTATGCACCTGTGGAGAACACAGAAAACAAACAATAACATTAATTGTAATATTGTAAACTGCTTTCAGTCTAAGTTTAACTGTGTACGGCTGAAAGAGTATTATATACACGTGAGAAATACAAACCTGATGGATAAAAATCTTACACTCGTGTTATCCTTGTCCTATAAGATTAGAACAATTCATCTAATGAGTTGAACATGTGAATGAGACTACAGTGGAATCTATACTTGGAGGGAAAAAAGGGCTAAACCAAAAAAAAAAAAAAAACATTCAAAAGTGAATAATAACACAAAGAAATTAGGTTGAGTGACAATGGTACCCTGAAAGAATAAGAACAAATAAGAAGAGAAGTTATTTAGAAGCAGGACAGAGGAATGATGAGTGCTGCATTGTCTCCAACAGCATGGCTCTGCACCATCTCCCTGCATGGACCTGTGCTCCGCTCGACCCCTTTGCCTTTCTGCACCAGCCTCTATGCGCCTAATTGATTCTCTTCTCAGTGTAGCAATTTGCATGCTTTAACGATTCTTCTTTTCACTCCCAATAGGGCAGCTCACCTGCTGACACTGCTTGGTGAAAGAAAAAGACTGACTCTCTCTTTAAAACATACACACATGAACACACATCCAAAAAAGGAGGTTCGTGGGCCAAAGAGGAACAATTAGGGAGGAAATGCTAGTGTTTGCAAAAAAAACAAACATCCTCAGGGTTCCTTTGCAAAATCTCAGCATTCAACATATTATAGCAAACAGATGACCTCACATGATGATAAAAAAAGCCTGCAGTGCATATAGACTTTTACATTATCCCATTGACATTATTCCATATAGTAAGGACATAAGATTGAAGAACTACAGTGAACAGTTCACCAAAACAATTTTTAAGATGCATCTATTGCTAAATCCAGTCCTAATTTACAGATTACAGACTTAAACACAATTAAAGAATTTTGCCATGATATTTCAACCAAAATCTTGCTAGACAAGGTAGCCTCCTATTACATGACAAGACGTCCAAAGCAGATAAGAGGGATAAAAACTGATCCAGTGAAAGGTGGCATGCGTCTATAAAAATGCATGACACAGCAGGGTAAAATAGTACGTAATAACAGAAACTGAAAAATCATTAAATGACCTTGCTGGAAGATAGAAAATGTGATTGAGGTCTACAATTTTATGTGAAATAAAGAAACGGATCACATTTGTGCTTTTCTGAAGGGAAAACCTAGTGAAGGATTTCTAAAATGTCAACGAACTGCTAAAAACTAAGTGTCAAAGAACCCATGAATAACGAAAAATAAGTTTTCCCACAAAATCTTCAGTTATGAATACAAAAAGATACAGTGAGGAAGATGAAAAAAGACAAAAAACAAAAAGACTTGGGAATTAAGTGCCATAGGGAGAGACTGTCATTTCACCTTCATATTTAACAGTCCTCATGAGTATGAATGCAACCACAATAAAACAGAGCCAACATAAAATATAACTAAAATAAAAAAATAAAACAATCTTCTTGTAATTCCCTTGAGAAATAAATCAGAATGTTGTAAAGATAAAAACATAAATCACAGATGCCCTGAAGGGCAAGGAAAGGGAAAAAATTAAATTCTCAACAGTGGTGCATTACACACCACCAGCACCAAAGAACTAAAATCAAGTCCAATAAAGAAAAAATAAAGATGTGATAAAAGTATGATTCTTAAAAGCAACATCACATCATTTAATGGCTGCTGATTGACTTGAACAATAAAATTAATTAGAATAAATACAAAAATGCTGGTACAAATGTGTGACCAACTGTCCAGACTGACATAATGCGAGTCATGTGCTTATGCTTAAGATACATCGGGAGCGTACACACCCACACCACCTCATGTCCCCACAGATGTATTAAGAATTGTGAAGAGCAACATATCCAATCAAAAAGCTAAAGCTGTAGGAAACAACATGAGACATTTTCTGCATACCATTGTGCGCATTATCTTCATCTGTGGCCCTCAAAATTAAATTTCAACTCAATCTTTAGAAAAAATTATTTCCCAGTCTGTTAATGTGTGCTTAAAAGCTGTCAGTAGCCACCCAAGGGAAATCACATGATGACTGTAAAACAAGCTAAATGGTAGATAAAATCATCATTTAAATTAATGTATTAGTAACTTCACAAATTAATTTTGTTATCTTGTTTTTGGGAGGAAGTTTATTGAGGAAAGCAGAGGAGGAGAAGGGATTTTTTAGTTTCCTGAAAGTTTTAATCTAGACATGGCACAGTCAGGACTGAAATACACACGAAAGTAGAAAAAAAAGTTTTTAGCTCTCCCAAAAGCTTCAATTTTCAAACGTTTGGATCAGAGAAAGCGTTTTGACACAGCAAAGCTATTGGAAAATTGACATAAGACAGAAAAATAAGAGGAAGCAACAAAAAGCTACAACAAAATAATCTTCCCCTCATTCAAAGTTGCATAAAAGGATGCATTCGTATTAAATAAACGGCGTGAAAACTAAGAACCTCCTACAGAATTACTTAACGTAAATAGATTATCTTTTTGGTGCATAAAAACCATTAAAAAATGTCTTGCATAAAAATAGCTGAGAAGATCTAAATAGCTGAAACACTTTGTCAAAAAGGGTAATACGATTTGAGTATGTAGGAAGCAGGGTAATTCTTTATCCTAATTTTTTTTTAACTCATATTTTGGCTGTCACCTTTCATTTGTCAAACAAGGTGAATGGCGATCTCAAAAAAGGCAAACAACTTATAGATGCACATAAAGTATGAATGGTGATAAAGAATGATGAGAGCTCATGTCAAATGACAACGTACGAATTTCCTTCAAATTAGCAGGTGATGGCTAGAATAACTGAATGTAAAGAAGTAAGCCTATAATTGCTATAAAACAGAACCCATATCAAGACAAAACCTGTCTGTGTATGCAGTAGTAGTTTAACAGCCACTCAACGCAGGTCTTTCAGTTGGTTAAATCAAGCAAGAAAAATTACATCAATGACTTCAAACCCTCAAGATTTAGATTTTTCTCAAGTGCAACCTTTAAAGTAAAAGGAATTGATTACGCAACAAATTGAGATTGTCCTCATAATAGGCCTGTGTGGTATCCGATCATGAAGGCAGATATGGTCAATACACCTTTATCTTTAATCTTACTTAACATTGTTTACCAACTATACCCAAGTTTTTATATAAAGTCTAATCCAGATGTTTTTGTCCTCAAGCAAACTGTGGAAACATGTGTTGTGCTTATATGTAAAATTACAATCAGCGATCTTGCGTCTCGGAAAGTGTAACATAGCTACTCTAGCACCAAATTCACCGTTGTTTTTTGGTCACTAATCTTAATGTCATTTCAGTTCCGACCCTTCTTCCCTGCCATGCAATCACTCACTCCCCTCACCTGGTTCTCTCTGCCTCACTCTCCTCACTTGCTGCTCATTAGCTCATTTGGTTTTCAGAATTTTTACCACTCCATTTCCACTTGATCCCTGCCAAATTGTCTTGTGTTGTTCCCGCACTATCTTGTTCTGCCTTTTTGTTCTGACCTCACATTTGCCTTCTCGGACTTTGGATTCCTGCATGCCCCTTATCGGATTTGTTTGCCTGTACGACTGATCTCCTGGTTTTGACCCTGCCTGTTTTTGGAACTAGTAAACAGATTTTCCCTTAGAACTTGCCTTCCTCGTGGTCATGCTTTTGGGTTCTCTGTTGCCTGGACCAGTGGTCGTGACAGAAAGGGATGCATTTTAAAAAGAACCCACATGTTTTTCCCCAACGATAACGATTTATTACCAAAAACCAACCAGTGACAAATAAAAAATGTTTTAATAGTCGGGAATCTTTATCAACGGACAAACTGGTTTGAATATAATGTCTCACATTCTCAGTCGTATTTTCTTTCTGCCACGTGTACTGGCAGTACATTACAGAAAGCTGTTACGCAATACATGAAGGAGCATGAGCCAACAAGCAACTGGAGGACTTGTCAATATTATCCAAGATCAAAAATCTGTTAAGTGCAATCACCTTTTTCCTTAAATCACACTAAAGTACACCTAGCCTTCATTTGGTGATTATTGTAGGGCCTCTCCATCAAGAACTGGGGCCAGTCATTTTACAAAATTGAATTGTAATGGTCATTTTAACTGTCATAGTCAGAGAGTAGATGCCTCATAATATAATCAAGACAGACATGTATCTTTTTAAAGACACATCTAAGCCTTATAAAAAGATACTGCTGACAAACATTTCCCTGAAAATTAGTATGAAGGATACCAAAAAAGCCTTTTATTATCATCGTCACTCATGCTAAAAAAAGTTAATGCGCACCACATATTTTAAAACCCAATTTTATTTACATCTGCCACAATGGTGATGCTGTGGCAGAAGCATCCCCAGTTTTAGTTACAAGACCCTCTGTGCTCCAGCGAGATGAACTGAACCTAATTTTTGGGAGTATGTTAGGCTAAATGAAAAAGCAGTTGTGTCAGTGGAAGATATGGAAGTAGTACTTGTTGCTGAGGTGGTAAAAGTGGCTATAAAACAATCCAACATTTAAGAAAGTGACTGATTTGCAATGAAAGGGGAAAAAATAGACAATTACATGGAGAAACTAATTATTTGGGACTATTGTGGCCATATTTAGAGATATTCTAATAATTGGTAATTGGTAACATATAGTAACATGTAGTTGCACTAGTTGCAGCATGATTTAATTACATAAAAAACAGATGCATAAAAAGAAAACTTAATTAATGTTTAAGAAATAAGTCTGTCCAATGGGGCTCTAAGCTGACCCCTGCTGACTGGTGTCACACCCATTTCTAATAGCAAGGCACCAGTCACCGAGGAGCAAAGAGAGGGTGTCCTTGGTGTTTACATCAAGACGTGGATTAGCAACATGGATTAACGTTTTCAGAAACGCTGTCCAGATCAGGATGAGGAGGTTTAATCCACCACAGAGCTGCTGATATTACAGGAAAAGCTTTCAGATTGTACTGTCAAACAGTTAAATGCCATCTGAATGGAAGAACACTGAATACATATAAAGTCGCTTTTTCAAATTTCAATCGTTCAGTCTGTTTAGGAGTATGTCAGATTTTGCAATTTGTCTCAGCTATACAGTAAATTAAAAGTAGAACACAAATTAAGGAACTGTCATGCATCTCTACAAAGTTGGCTCATGTATTTCTTATCTCGAGGCATTTTCTTGGTGTGAAAAGTGTTATTTATAAACAGCGCTACTTCTCATTACAGATGAAAACTATAGATTTCAAAAACTTAGAATTAAATTGCAGCAGAAGCAGCATTTTCAACAAAGATGAAACCTAAAAGTGCTCAATGTTACCTGCACTGCAGCTGTCGGGAGATTATTTTATTTAGGAACCTGAATGGCAGGATTTTGCAGGGGAAAAGCCATCACTCCAGATTAGGGTCAAGGCTGTTAACTTTATGTCTACTACGAGACTAAAGCATATCTACTAAGACCAGAACTAAACAACCAAAGTAAATCACCGATCCACTCCAAGTATGTCAAGTGCACAACTTTTTTGCTATCTTGCTAGATGACTGCTTATCTCATTTTTGCTCTTCAAGGGTGGGTAAAAGCATTTAAAAGAAAAGGTCTGGCCAAAAAAACTGAGCAACATTCATGAGATTAACTGACATCTGCCCATCTCCTCTGCAGTTTTTTTCCTCTCATCCCTTTTTGTTCCATCATATCTGAAAATGACAAACCCTTCTTAGCTGTACAGAATTGAAAACACAGGTAGGCTAGTAGGTAGGTTAGTTTTAATATTATCATTAGTATTGTACTCAATCTTTGGTTTCAAAACAAGGTCACTCAAACACATAGTTGATCACAAGGCTCTAAAGTCATTAGGATAGCTAAAGGATTGCAGTCAGCACCTCACAAAGATTCAGTTGACCACCTTAATGGAAGAGCAGTGACCAGGGGGACATTTATGGGGTGAACTAATTGAATCCTGGGAATTGAATTAGGATGCCAAAGTCCCTGCAGGAGGCAATCAGTGAGCATAACTATATATAATCATAAAAATGATGTTGAGAAAATTATGTTTCAAGACTATCACTTGAAGAGAATGAAAGGTGACTTATCTAAAGGTTATATAATTGCAGATGATGATGACAGAAACATATTCCCATACTTTTTAACATTTGGATACCAATTTATAACCAATTTATGAGAGTTTCACAAAGCCTCAAAATTCAAATGTGTGAAGTTGGAAAAAGCTTTGATATATTCCTGATTTTTTTTTTTTTTTTTAAAGACAGCATGGTATGTTTTGAGTTATGATCATCCTTAAAATAGTCCCCAGTTATAGTCATGTGGTGGCACATAAAATGTGGGGAATCAAATGTAGCTATGTTACTGTAATTTCAATCAATGCAGCAAAGAATCTTTCTTAACAGGTGAAGTTTGGCATTGTCACACAGACACTTTCAAAGAAATGGGCCTCTAGCTGTTAATTTCTTTTTCCAATTTGGTCTAAATTTCCCTCTCCCTCTTCCTCGCTATCAAATGTAGGCCCTTGTTACTATTGACAGCTGACTTGCACTACCTGAAGTCTACGTGCATGTTCTTTTTCCCCTTTCTCTATCCATCTGTCCCTACCAGTAATATTTCTGTTCTGCTCTTTAGCTGACTTCCGTTCCTCTTCTCTGGATACTTCATTACTGTGAGCGTTGTGTAACATACTTAAACAGATTAAAATAACTGTCACTACTTTGAAGAAAGGAACCCTGCTGTGCTGTGGCATTTATAGTTTGGCATCTGTTTATCTGACAATAAAATATTCGCTAATATAATATCATATAATGATATCAATAATAATAATAAAACAATCTCTGCTGAAATGCTTGAAGGTATACTTCAGGTAATTTATAAATAGTTTCACCAAGACATAGAATGCTTGGGAGCATCAATGAGCACTCCAGGTTTCAAGGGTTGATGTCCTGGAGGGCCATAATGACAATACTTTTTCTCCAATTACGCCTGAACAGTCGCAAGGTCAAATGAAAAAAAATGGCACAAGTTTAAAACTACATGAAAAATACGTTCATTTTTTTTAGAAAGTCAGCTGTGAAAATGTTTTAACACGTATACAGAAAGTTAAAGCGGTATGGAGGGTGGTGCACAATGGTTAAGATCCAGGTTGAGACAAGTTTAAGGACAGCTGCAGCCTGGAGGTTCACACAACTTTCATACATTCTGAAAACATCAGCATAATGAAAAGGGAGACGTTAAAAACAAATCTGTCTGGAAAGTATTAAATGTGGCTGTTCTGGCACAAGAAAGCGGGCACTTAACCGTCACATATTAGAAGACTGCAAAAACCTTATGCTGTTAACTTTCAACATGCAACAACTTGTAAGACACAAAGACATAGAAAGTGTGGTGACATGCCAAAGTAACTCCTCAAACAAACCACAGGCTAAATCTGACTTTGACCAAGTTGCTGTACAGGATCAGACCTGCTCAGGCCCAGTTTCTCAGAGTTAAATTAAATTCCAATTATTTATTGTGGGTGCATATATATATATATATATATATATTTAAATAAATAAATAAATAAATAAATGTGTGTGTGTGTGTGTGTGTGTGTGTGTGTGTATGTCTGTGAATGTGTGTAAACTGTGACCTCTAAGATTAACTTCTTAGACGTGATAAGTTGGGGGGCTTTTGGTGATTATAATAAAACGATAAACTGCTGCTTTAATTTGTCTCCCATTGCTAATCGGTTTTTATGCCTACACCATTGTTTTTTTCCCCCCTTGTGCTTCTTTCTGGTTTTCAGAAATCTAGTCACACAGATCACAACACATCTGTGAGCCTCATCAGTGCAGTGGATGATTTGTTTTGCTTAAAGCATGTGGATTACAGTTCTCCCTCATAATCCAGAGGAGACAAATCTTTAAGATCTCAGCTCCTGGTCCACTTTGCACAGCTGGAACAAGGTCTGCTGCCTGACCTGAGAAGAGTACGTTTTTTTTTTTTTTTTTTAATTCATATCTAAATAGTAATCCACTGAACCAAGAAAAATATTTAGAAATCATTTAAATATATAAAAACCTTGTAATCATAATCAATGAAAATAAAAAAAAATCATGTCAAAGTAATTATACCATGTGATTCAGTTGCTGTTGTGAAGGATTTTGGTCAGCTGAAGTTGTTTTAATGCGCTATATATAAATATATTTGAATGAATCTTTCCGTTAATCTACACATGGTGAATAACGACAATTACCCAGAGCATTTATATTCATTACAACCGAAGCACAAAGTCTGTACTTTGGAGCATCGGTACTTAAAGAGTATCTCATATTCCATGGACACAGAAGAACTAAAGACAAGGGATAACGGACAGGCAGATTCAAAAGAGCACTAAAATCATGCTGAATCTCCGGCCATTTACATCTTGGCTTGATTTTTGTCACAATAAAAAAAAAAAAAATAAATAAAAAAAAAGACTGATAGGTATTTCCATTTTGGACTAAATAAATAAATAAGGCATGTCATACTCTTTGATCCAGTTTTCATGCCCATCCAGGTCAAATTACATGAGTATGCTGGACCGATGGAGCATGTGGGACTGACTTGTGAAGACAGAATGTCTACACCTGAAGAGACTTGCAAGTCCTACTATAATGGTCTCAGTATACTGAAAAACGAGCAGCTTGACAGGTTGTGTCAAAAGTATGCTTCCTGTTTTTGAGATATTCCAGCTTTTAACACATGGAGAAAATGGTGCCGTAGAGCTACTGCTAGACACGGCTGATAAATGAGCAGAAGAGAGAAGTGGATGTGAAATTTCCCTAGAAGGTCAAACCAAAAATGAAAACTCTATTATCCTAAGAAATGGTGGTGATTAAATAACTTGATATTCACAGTTCTCAACATGTTGACATGTTATGGATTTTTTCAAATGTAAATGTGTACATGTTTGTCCTGTGTCATTCTTTGACAATATATTGATGATGATCATGATGATGAAAACATGCATCCAAATACTTGAACTAATATTGGCATGAAGCCACAAAAGGTAATAACAGCTAGTAATTGGCATTAATTATATACAATTATAAGTACACACCCTCCTCTCAGCTGGCTATGAAAATGTTGACAATGCTAATATTTAACTAATGAGTCAAATAACCCAGTATTGGAGTAATTTATGCACCATTAGCATGTCCACTGAGATAATTTCAAATTGAAAACACACAATCTTTCTGCATTTCTAGAAAATTAAGTTGAAGACACCCAGAATTTGCCCCCATTCTATAGCAGTTCATTTCTTAAAGGTCACAGTAAAAGTTAAATACTGAAGAATGTAAGCTAGAGAGTCAATATTATACTCGTATACAGCAAAAATTGAGCAATCCACAAACATGATGTAAAGCTCTGCACTAAAAAATTGCATTAATTTTCAATATATAAACAATGAAAGAAACAGAATTGCATTGAAAAAGAAATAATAAAAAAAAACCTTTGGTGAAAACACAGTGGCTAGTCACTCTTCAGTGTAAATGCACAGCCAGCCTCATTTCAGAAGCTAAGAGATTACTGAAATCAGATGTCTGAATCGTTCGGAAGATTATTAATTGAGTAAATACCTTAACAAAAAAGACAATTTGTAAAAGTTCAGGCAATAATGCCATATAAAGCTGGTTATTAACTGCTTTGAGTATGACTTCATAAAGGACAGATAAAAGAATGGGTAAATTACTTAATAATCCAATCTTCTTGAATACATCACATAAAATAATGCGCACTCTATATAAAAAGCCAAACCTTGTCCAGCTGAGTCTTGTCGAAGGCAAGTCCTCGACTGTGTGGCGGGTAAACAAAATTCAGGTAAGTTAACAGTCCATTACATGCCTTTCCACAGCCCCTCCTTTCCCTCTGCTTACCTCCCTACTAACTTTCCCACTCCTTTCAACTCCGTCACTAAGCCTGTGGCATAAACACATCAGACAATATTTCTAGCATGTTACAACTTAAAGTGGAAAGCAAAAAGATTCAAATTATTATCCAGCATTTTTCTCCCGTCTCTCTCCATCCTCCTGCCTAGCTTGTGTATCTCTACTCTGCGTCATGGCTATTTTCATACTTCAAGAAACATTAAGAAAACCCTCTGACACACCGAGTTATACATGGTTAGATACACTATGTAAAACTATTTGGTTGCAAGATTTGCCAGTGGGCCCAGAAAAAAAGAGAAAAATTCAGTCAAAGCTCTGCTGTCTGGTCTTTCATGACAATGCAGAACAGATGGACAAAAAGAAAGGGGATGTTGGGGGGAAGGATAAAACTCCTGCACATTCTCCACAGTTGTGTTTGTAGAATAGAGAGAATGGCTTTTTGAGCCAACAGGGGGACAAAAATTACAGTGGAAGAGACCCCTGTTCTCTTCCACTGATGTTGTTCATAGGATAACAGTGAAAGAAGGAAGCAGTTACATGAAGTTCTAAAGATTTTAAAATCATTTTAAGACGATTGCATTAGGTGTTAAGAAAAAATCCCAGCTTCTACCTTTCCCAACTTTAAAGACTTTTTAAGGATAACTGGTCAACATCTGGAAGGGGTCTCACTGGGCAAAACTAATGCCAAGTTTACTATTTGAGAATCTTAATGAAACCAAAATGTAATGGATTTTTCTTAACCCAAACAGTACCACTTTAGTAACTTTAGTCAAGTTCAGTTTTGTAGTCCATGATCATCCATGGATGACGTTCACTGTGATGCCACATAACTTGTGTGGATTGCAGGCAAGGATAATGTGTGGCATTAGAGTGAAGAGATTGTAAAGGATGTCCCAACACTTGGGAATTCACTTGACTGTACACTTGAGAAGCAGTATGGTAAGCTTTCAGAGTGCAGTTAAAATGCAACAACTGAAATCTTTGCATATTAGCCAGATGTGCGAGTCACCGAGAAACAGCTAGAATTTCACTGATACAAGACAAAAGGTTTGGGTTGGTCACCCCCAAAATGTATCGATAGCAATCAATCCAATTAAATTATGATTCAAAACAGAACAAGAAATGCAATGTTTGAGTAAAGGAGAGCTGCAAACGTTTTTGCAGCAGTTTGCTTTGGCAATGAGTCAATCACTGCATTTCTACAGACATAAGCCATTCCAAATCCCATCAACAGAAGAAGAAAAAAATACATTCAAGAGAGGCAAAATCCCAAACTCAGAAAGAGAGTAATGCACAGTGAGAGGAATAACACAAAAATCCTGTGTAAGCTTAGTTAATTCCCTCTGTAACATCCCCAACATTACGCTGCCGGACTATTTTATATCCAGAAGGGAGGAGACAGTAAAAGGTGGGGTGAAAGTAGGGAGTTTAGTACAGTTAAGCAGATCCTCCCTCTACCTCAATACCCTGTGGCTACAGAGCAGGAGGGGGCCTCCCTTAACCCACCATTTCACAATTACTATGGTAAAACTGCATTGCGACGCTCTTTGTCATCCCAACAGAGCAGAAAAGAGGCATGATGGTACAAGAAAGTGTGTACAGAGGAGAAAACAAAATGGAGAGACACAATTTTACTTCCTCTGCTGATCTCAAAATAAGATGGAAAATACAACATTTTGCATAAGAGAAGCTTATGAGTGTTGAGGGCAGAAACCACCACCAACCTTTTCCAGTGCGTTCACAGCACCACAAGGTTTTTTGCTCCAGACAAGAAAATCCACATGCTCAAGCGTCATACAGGATGTAGCATGTTCCTGCCTGCTCACAGAGAGAGAATTCTTAGAAAAATGTTGTGGGAAAAAAAAGCTCCTTAAACCAACACCCTGTAAAATGTAATGCACATCTGATGCTGTGAATTACCTGAGATTTAATCTAACATGTACCATTGGAACCTGCAAATACGAATGCATATGTTAAAGCGAGATTGTCAATATATCTTTGCTTGAGGTGCAATGAAAAGAGAATTAGGTTCCTTATCCGTGTGTGGACTAACGTCATCAATGGAGCAAATCAGTGAGGGATGAAAAAAAAAAGCTCAAACACTGCAATTTTCTCATCATTTCATGCATCTGAAACAAACTAATTTACTGCTTGTCATGCTTGGCTTGGCAAATACAAGCACGAGAGCCAATATGCCACAGCGTGTCATATGCCGCTGCATCAAAGAGAGCTGTTTATATATCAGAATCACATCTCCCTATGAATCATAAGAGACCTGGAAGAAACACTTAATATCATCTTATGAAAAAAGCATTCCGAACACACCAACATGCCGGTGACTTTGCACATCTCCCAGCTTTCCATTCTACAACAATGTCCCCTACTCTTTTTATATCTTTCCTCATAGGTCATTCCAATGTCACAAGCTGGGTTTTTTCGTTTTAGGTGGGCTCTACACACAAACACGCTGATAAAGTCATATGCTTGGCAGCTTAGAGTTGGGCAGAAAGTTATGAGAGGAGAGTTCTAGAGGCAGAAATTGTAAGAGAGAAGGACTAAGTAATGAGATGAAGGAAAAAGCATCGGAGAAGGCTGTGCTGTCAAAATAAAAGATATATAGCCGTTAAATAGTGGCATGTACATGTATCCCCATAAAGGCATGCGACAGCTTAACTGGACTGCAGCCAGGACAAAGGAGAAGTTCTGAATAAATGCACCTCTACTGTAAATACATTGACATTTTCACTGAAAAGTTTAAATTTATGCCGACTTAAGTAATCAGAGAAGAACAAAGGTTTCTCATTAAATCAGAGGTGACATGTATTGATTTTTCTACACAGAATTCACAACGCCTATTGTTTGGAGATCCTCGCTTCACATCCCTGCTGTCATTGTTGGGACAAACATCAATATGAAGCTCTGTGGTGCATTACAAAAGGGTTAATCACAAACTTGTAAGCAATTATTCTCTAATACAACTTAAAATCCCCACCCCCCAAGATTTTAATTTTAATCAAAACCATCAAATTGAAAGAAACACTCTTTTTAACCATGAACTAATATATTTGTTAATCAGACCATTTAAATGTTTTATGATATACATTTCCCAAAAAAATAATAATTGGGGGGAAAATAAAGTTAAAAGTTAAAAAAATAATTCCCAAGACAATCTCAACATTTCTGCTGCAGATCGTTTGTGGCAGCGAGAACTGAAAAAAGTGCGCTCTTCATAAGTTGGACTTCCAGTCTGATACCATCTTTGAGCTCCATCTGCCTCACGGTTTCAAAATATGTTAAAACAATATAAGTTAGGAGACCACTCAGTGATACAGCACTACATTTGCAATCTCAGCTGTGATGCATGGTGGCGTGAGAGAGGAGAGCACCTAATTGGACACTGGCCTGTGTCTGGTAGTCCTGTCACAGCCCAGAGGGGTGTAAGTGTGTACTGGTGAGTGAGTGAGGGGGAGAAACAGAAAGAATGAGAACAAACAGAGAGCTCCATTCAGGTCTAAATCACAGACACATCATTCAGTCTGACATGACGATATGTCTCTGTGACCAGAGTATTCATAGAGGGCCTCGCCAGCCATTCACAGATGCATCATTCACACCCACACACAAACACACTTCCGCTGAGTCTTGCCTACACAACCACTAGGCATTTATATCACTGGAGAATCTGTCTAGGACTTCCCATTCATATTCATTAACAGTTTCTCCCTTGACATGAACACATTGCTAAGATTTTCAGTGGTGCTTATTCTTGCAGGGCCACCACCCCTAAAATGCAATGAATGTCCTCAGTGGCATAGTTGGTGTGAGAGTTTATCCATTAGCAAGTCCGAATATTGACAAGGCCGTGCTCTGCGGGTCCAAACTCCAGCCTTGTAGACGTAACATTGGCCGACAGACCGGGGATTGTATGTCAATGTAAGGTGCTTATAGGGCGATAAAGGCTGCCTTTCCAATTCCTATAGACAGGACTTGATGGGCAGCGCAAGGGATGGAGGGAGGGAAAATAACTCATGCCAAGTGCTCTTATAGCCTTTAAGAGTTTAGAACTGAGAGGAATGTGCTAAAAAGACAAGGAGGCAAAGCATAGATTAGATAGAATTATCAGTCTACTTAGAGAGGGGCGAAATATTTTCCCCTTGAGTTCCTGGCAACAACAGAACACACACAGTTTATAGTGCTGGAACACTGAAATTAGACTACAAACAATAATGTAATACAAAAGAAAAAGCTCGTCAGCCAGCCACAACTGCACAGGTACGGTTCCATTAACATAAAGCCTACAATGACATCCTGCAGACAAGATAATAACAACAATCTTACTGTCTGTCACAAGTAGTTAAATGGCAAATCCGGGACAACTAATTATGTATCGTGATGTGGTATTTGCGGTCTAATTGCAAATTCTTGACACCATTTGTTATCAGCTTTCTTATCAATAATTCATAGAAGAATATGAATATAGTTGCAATAGATATGATGGATCTATCTTTGTTTAATTGAAAAGGTATTTACATCTAGTTGCATCATCCACAAACTCATTAATATATGTCTGCATTTTAACAATAATTAAAAAAATTTACAGATCCAAAAAAGGCCTATGAAGTGGGATGAAACTACACTGCATAAGACTGTGTACCACACTGCCCCTCGTGGATTCCCTTGAACATAGCCTTATCCCTTTAACAATGCCTTGCAGAGGTTGTATTGAAAATGTTAACGCTCAAGAAGGATCAGACAACTTGTGATAGAAATGTTTTTGGTCTTATAAAATGGAAAAGTTCCCATTTAAGCATAGTATTGGGTAAAATAAAACGTACTGAAACGACAACACTGAACTGATGCACAGAGAGGAATGCAGGTGGATAGAGGGAGGTAGAAGCCCACTGAGGGACTCAGAGTGCTCTGTGCCACTGCTGTAGCGGGATCTGCATTTGCATTGGTTGTAGCAGCTGCTGTCAGTGCATCGGCTAAAGCGAGAGTGAAAGATGGAAATGAAGATGGATGAGCAACAGAAAGGTTTTTTTAAAATGGGGAGGAGGCACATTTATAAGTCAAAAGTAAAGATTAGAGGGGCACATGCCTGATAATGTAGTGTGTAACAATAGCCGTAATAGTTAACTTTGCTGAAGTGTCTTCAAATTTGCTCAATCTTCAATAAACCTAACGTTCAGGAATAGTTCATTCTTATGCCGAATATACCACCTCTGAATTATTCATTATAATTTTCAGGTTTTAAAAATCTAATTCATTTCAAGAAATTACTTAGCATGCGGAAGGACTCCACAAGAAGATGTGATCTAAATACATGTTGTCAATCATGTGCTTAAGCTGCCTCAGTAAATAAATATCCACCAGCTCAATTTTGGCAACATTAAATCGGGACAGCCAAGTGCTTAATTCTGTTCTCATTAAGTCCATCAAAAATGTGAAATCAAAAATTAAAGACCACCACATATTGGTCGTTTTAGAATCTGACTGTAGAAAAGCGGTTCAAAATAAGAGAGAGTATAAGAGAGACCATAGCTCGTTTGTCTTGAAATTAAGATAATGTGACCAACTTTGTAAGCAAAGTATATCTTGAAGCAGTATTCCACTAGACTGTTGCCGATGTTAAGTCCTACCTGAAGAGCCTTGTAAAACACCTCAGTCCAGTTTAAAAGACCATCCCATTTAGACATGTCCCAAAGTTCATATTGCATTAAGGGGCATGACTTTTCCAGCACATTACTGTTGAGCTGAAGGCTGTTATCATATCTGGTCAATGTGCAGCTATATACTTAAATTCTGAAACTATATAAAAGATCACCAAAAGTAAGATATTTCACAGAAAAATGGCAGAAATAGAATAAAAACATAACGTGTGGTTTAATCCAGCCTGAAAACTGTGGAGAGTTCGCTGCGTCAAGCTTAAATAACTGGTTTTTATCAAATTCGTTTAATTATGCAGGAAATATTACACAATGGAAACGGTGGAAGAAAAAGTCATTAAAGTTCCCATGGCTGTAATATTGTTAAAAAAAAACATGTAGCCTACGTGGTAATATGTCGCAGACTCAACGATGGAAATCCTGAACGACGATTAGTCCATTTCCATGAAAAACAGCTAAGAGATACGAACTAAAGTCAGGGAACATGCACTCCATTAAATATAAAGCTTGTGCATCATTTTTAGACAATGTGCAGTCATATCAGACCTGACAAATCGTTTAGGTTGTCATCCAAAGATTTGCATGCTGCAAGAAAACGGAACACAACTGGGCTTGCAGCGCTCCGGTTCACATTATGAAGGGCACCGCGGGAAACTACGGGAATCCAGTCAACGTGGTCCTGTCCTGTGCACGATGTCCGGTGACTGAGGTTTTCTGTAATTCCTCTCTGACAAAGTTATGACTACGACCCGTATGGACCGGTTCGGAATAAGACCCACCCCAGTGCCTGAGGAGAGCGGCCATGGCGCAGCTAGAACAGGTGCAACACGCCTCTCGTCACCTGGCTGGTGCAGTGGCAGCCTCACACCCCAAACGCGGCTCCAACAGCTCAGACACACGCTGAAAACCAATTCCACTCCTGGAAACTAACGCAGTGACAAACCTCTTTCCTTACCTGTGATCTATGCAGATATCAGTCACAGCCGCATCGACACTGCGGATAAGAGGCACGTCCACAGCAATCCCAACTCCTTTCACTCCCCCCCCAAAAAAAGAGAAATGTTCAGAATAATAATATATCCTGATCAAGCGTTTTGTCCACTTTAAATCCCCGGTAGAGATGTAGTTAACAGACGATTCTTGCACCGGAAGATGAAGTAGCAGCAGACTTCCAGCTGCATCCCCGATCAGCAAGACTCTACTAAGCCGTTGTGAGTGCTCTGTGAGCCGGGAGCCGCACCTCCCATCTCCGGGCGAGGACGCACTTGGTATGCCGCTGGAAAAGCCGCTGCGCCGTATGGGATGCTGCAGGAGGCTGCGCCTGAGTGCATGTGTGTGCGTGCGTGTAGACAGCGCGTGTGTCTCGATGTGACTCTGTGCGGTGCTCCTACTCAACTGAGGTGCTGAGGCTGCTGCAGCGTAGTGCGAGAGAGAGGGAGGGAGCGCAGGAGGGACTCGGGGAGGTGGAGAGGAAGGCAGCCTCGGAGTTTCCAGCTTCACAGCGGATCTTTGGACCGGGAGGGACCGAGAAGATGGAGCTTCGCCCGGTGGAAAAGGGGAAAACAACGATTGTTGTCACCGTTTCTTACTCGCCTGCAGCAACTTAGATGGGAGGGGGTGGGGACTTTAGTTTGGGTCATTCTCAGTCCGTGGCGACAACCATAAAGAAGCTTAATAAACGGTAATTGACAGTTCATCTCAAAGGGGGTGTTTATAGGGCTACCACAATAACGTTTATAGCTCAGACCTGTTCAAAGCCAACGCACCATCTCAAGTGAAATAATTCTACCGATGACCTTTCAGTGTCAATAGCCTCTTTGCGACTTTGCAGAGCTCAAAAAGTTAATAATTTATTTATTCTTTCCATCAAAGAAAATGCGACAGAATATGGGATTAAAGAACAAGCTTTGTTAAATGAAGGTTCATGGTGAGATATATGTCCATATCCAAAAGGAGTTTTATGGAATGCATTTATTCCATTGAGGAGGGGATTTTGCAATGCCAAAAGGAGAATTTATACAAATGCCTTACAATACCAGGGTGAAATGATCAGATCATCGGATTAAAAAAACTAATAAGGCATCATTTAAAGATAGACATTAGGAAACATGGCATCATAATTACAACCCTTGCATAGTTGCAGCAGCTTAAAACCTGATTTCTCACTCTTTTTATCCCTACTATGATGATCTTTTAAAATGCCTCAGGATTGTATCCTCCCCCATGCATTTTTAGCAATTAATATTCTAAAGGCCTAATTATATAATCATGTCTTTAACGGAATTAGCTATGTGGGGGTGCAGGAATAATGTGTTTTGTGATATAATAGTCCTATCATGTTCATGCTAAGACAATTCACCTCTAATCCATCAACGCTGGTTAAATACTGCACACAATGGCCGTGATAAGACATGGTCAAGTTCTATCATCATTCCAGTTATGATAACTTGCTAAATAAGCAGTCTATGTAATATACACACGTCAAAATGTTGCCAGACTGCATGATGCAAGAGTCGAGTTTTAAGAAGTGGCTTATTCCAGTTTACAGAACAATTGAATGAGTACATGGATTCCAGTGACCACCCTCTGACCGTTTGATCCATATTCACGTAGTAAGCGTTTTGTGGTCTTTCAGAAAAGTGTCGCGCTTGCTGCAATATCCTCTCCCTTATTCTGCCCCCTCCGCTCCTCTCTCACGCCCTCCCTGCTCCCACTTCCAGAGGGGCCTGTGTCTTTGAAACACTGCATCAGAGCCCCACCTACAGGCCAAAAAAACATGCACTGTGTGTTGCACACATGGGGGAAAAAACACACAAAAAAAGATGTGCAACACCTTGTCTGCACAGCTGTTTGTTTGGTCTGTTTTAAACCAAATAGCTCTAATGACCATCATTTGCCACCAGTACAGTACAGACGCCAAAGCAAAGTCCAACCAGACAACATTTTAATGCTCTACTCCAACGTTAAAAAAATAAATAAATATATAAAACGTACGTTCGTGTAATAGTAAATCTGTGAGAAAAGGGCAGATAATGTCGTGTGGTCGAGCAACACTGCCAGTTCACAGTCCAGCAGATACCGAGCAGCATGGAAACGCCCATCTCTAAGTATATTTTTATATGTTATGTGGGAGCTCCACCAAATTAAACTCAACCCTGACAGCGTTTATGCATTTTGAGTCGACAAAGTATGAATACAATTACGCTGTTTTTTGCTTACTGTGAAAACTCACGTGCAGAGTTTGCAAACATAATTAGCATAGAAAATAGCACCTACCTCGAATATTTCCCAAGACGGTCTTTCAAATAAACCAAATAGCATTGTAGCATTTAGGTCAATTTGAGTTGTGACGGTAGTGCAAAAAAAAGTCCAGGTTTGAAAAACAAAATAAGCCTAAATGTTCAGTTAACGACTTAATTAACAGCTGCTGCAGTCACGTGACTTTGCCCACTTCCGTGCACTGTAACTCACTGACTCCAAAACTGACAATTCACAGTGAAAATAACGCGAAGTTGACCTGTTCTCTTCCAAACGTTTAGTCCAAAGGCTCCCCTACCACGAATAAATATTTAATCTTGAATTGCTTTAATTTAGATCGAAGAATTTGAAAGGATTGAAGCTCTAATAGCTTCAGCCAAACCTTGCATGCAGGTAAGCCACTGAATGCTTCTTATCTTACAAAAATAATCGCCTCTTATTTCGCGTTTACGATTAAGTTCTGTGGGTTATTAAATCCGAATGGATTTGCAAAAATGTATTTTCTGCTAGGGATCATATGAATAAATGCTTTTAAAGAAGCACGTGGGGGTTTGAGACCATCCAACGTTTCCTCCAACAAAGACAGAACCGTTTTAAATCCTTTTACACAATAAATCAACAATAGCCGTTTTAATTCTCTTTGACCAGAAATTGATTTGAATATGTGTCCAGTCTTAATTTATTACTCTCTGGTCTTTGTGTCAGATTTTGAGGGCATCTCTTTGAGTCATCTGAAGAATGAAACGCACAGATACCAACAACCCAATTGTGTTCATTTAATTATTCAATAAAAGCATGGAGCTAAATCAACAGTCTGTGCTTCTCTTTAATCAGATAAGTTTGAAAGCAAAGCAAATCGATGGTGCTGCAATCTACAATGACAATAGTCATTCTATGAAGGGTCACGAATGCATGACCTGGGGCTGTTGGTTCATGTTTAGATTGGACATGCTGGGATTGATTTATAATTGAACTCCATGATTACAAGAGTACATCAAATCTTTGTTCAGCATAAACTTAAATTAATAAATTCCAAGGACAAAAATGGTTGTCCTGAAAGCTTTAACACTTTTGGCATTTTAAAAACCTGACACTTAGTTTTGCCTAGAGGTTGAAAACATTGTTTTCTGTAATGTGATCTTAACCTTGGCCTCACAGGAAACAGTCTGATGCTGTAAATTTAGAGGTGGAGATGACATTCTCAGTTTTGTGCTTTCCGCCAACCAACTGACTTCCCATTTGTCATCCAAATGAGAGGAAGACTTATGGATGCATTGTGAATAGATTTGATTAAGCCTTTTTAATGCAGTTAAAAGGGTTGGAGGGAGGTGCGAGAGTGTCTACGTCTGTCTCCTGTTGCCAACTGGCAAAGTTATTTTAGTGGCTCTCATCTTGCTTTGAATTTTGTATTTGTGCATGTGTGTGCCTAAATATAGGCATGTACTGCATCCATGTGTCCTTTGAATCAACTCAGCGAGCTCCTTTGAACTTAGCTGTGTGTGGCCAGTGGGGAGAGTGATCACCCCACAGTGGTACACTGTTCCTGTGGGTCCCCACCATTCCGCTCCTCTACTCTTACACTTGGTTTCACGGGCAAAATGGTGACTCATCCACTTCACTGCAAGATGTGTGTGCCTTATTTTCATTGCTATGGCAGGGATAATAATATCCATGAGCTGCCATTGGTGATACCACAGTCTCCACTTCCATCTTCATAAGCGTGTCTGTCCCTTCTTTTTATTTTGTCAAAAGCTTTGCCTTCTTACTGGTCAAATCACACCAAAACACAGAAAAGTCAACCTTGCCCACAAGCTCTCAATTTTGTAGAAAATCTATTAGTGTCAGTGAGCTAATGAAGTTTTATATGCTGTATGGACACCATGAATGACACTGATATGCCATTGATTAGGATTGTAAATAGGTTTTCAATTTTCTGTCTGCATTATGAGTTACTGGATAGCAAATTATATTGAAGCTGACATTTCTGTATGTCTAGTATGTGAGTGAGTGTGTGTGTGTGTGTGTGTGAGCGAGTGCGTAGGAGTGCATAGTCGGTGTGTTGAATATGTCTCTGTCATATAATTAGTTAGTTTGCATATTGATGGCTTACTGCTTTCTGTGTGAATGTGTGCACTTCTGTTTTGCACTTTTTATTCATTGTTGTCATTTTTGAATATTATTGGCCTCCCCATCAAGTTAGCTGCTGCCTGTCGGTCTGCCCATATAGCTTGATGTCTGAGTGCGTGTGTGGGTTTATCTGTTCACACTCAAGGCCATGGCCAGGTGAATCAATGCTTTGCCAGCGATTTCTCCAGAGAGCTAATCTCATGTCCATGGAGATCCACACAAAGCTATCCTGACCGTGCTGCTGTCTGTCCCTCCCTGAATTAAACTCTTCTATTGGGATAGATCCTGCAGATGGTCGGGGGATTGGAGACTAAGGGCAAAGCACCACAGCAAGTATGGATAGAGTAATGAAATAGGGTATGGCTCATGGGGACCTCAAGCTTTTTCTGCTAACACTAACCACAAATAGCCCCTTGTTTCTATGGCCAGCCAAGTATGCAGGAAGTTGAATGCCAAAAATAAACTGGTGAAAGTTATAAAGTCTCGCAAAATTGCATGTAATCATTATGTTGAAACACTGTGCTACTGCAAAAATAGAGGACACCGTCCAGCATTCTGAATCTTTTTTTTGTCCAGTTTCCTGTTTATTTATCTATGCATCCATTCCGCCATCACCCACTGCTTATCCAGGAATAGATTAAAAAGGCAGCAATGGGAGAGTGCCAGATTTCACCTGTGTCCAGTCACATCCTCCAACTCTTCTGGGGACATGCCAGTCAACCCAGCAAAGAGGTATTGTCTCTCCATCAGCGTATGAGTTTGCCCTGAGGTTTTATCCTAATGAGACATGCCCAAAACACTTCTGGCAGATGAGTGGAGGGCCCTCATCCAACAGCAACCTGCCCCTTTTGATGAGGAAAAGCAATATTTCTGCTCTGGGCACCTTGCAGATGATTGTGCTCCTCACTGCGTCCCTGAAGGAGAAGTCCACCAATCCACTAATTTTCTTTGCTTGCGCATGTGTTGGCAGTGTAAGTTTTTAGGTCATAACCCACAGCTTATGGCTACAGGTGAGAGCTGGAATATAAGTTTAGATGCAAATCAACAGCTTCCCATGCATCTCAGCCCTTTTATAATGTCTCCAGTGCATGGAGCCTCAATCTGACTGTCAATCTCTCACTCCATTTTATTTTCTCTGGTGAGAGAGTTGCAGGATGCCTGAATTTCTCCTCCTGTTGTAGGGAATCACTCTGAACCTGGAATTGACAAATCCTCCATATCTGTCATAGGACCATGAACTCAGACATGGAAGAGCTACTTCTGTTTCTGGATGCCTGATATTCAGCTACAAACATCCCAGTTTATGCCCAGACAGAGCATAAGAGTTATTTTGTCCGTAAAAAAAAGACAAAGGGGGACACTGAAGCTGCCCCCCTGGCACACCAAGGAATTCTGCCCATAAAGGTATTAAACAGACCTGGCAACAAAGTTGAGCACAGAAAGGTCTATGACCAACAGCTGGTTATGCAAACCAAGCTCTCACTCTGTGACACAAAATGGTTACGCTTAGAATTATTTTTGCTTGTTTAAAACCTTGCAGTAAGGATGTGTGGTACTGTGTCTGATCCGGCCCTGTCAGGTTCCATTACTTTGCCTTGTGCTGATGTAGACTCATTCATCAGATCATGTCAATCAAGAACTTAAAAAGAGCAACTGGATTTCTTGGATCTTAGAATAATTGAATTGCTCATTCTGTTCTCAAAATGAAGAAGTGATACAAATTAGAATGTTGTTGTTTTCACTCAAACTTTAAGCATGATTTTTATGTTTTTGCTGCCAACAGGGAAAAATTTCCATGTGGAAAGAAACACAAAATGTTTCTAAAGGTTTATAGTTTTTTTTCTTCTCATGCTTCTCATTCAAATAAAGCGTGTTCATTTGGTCAATAAACATCCATACTGTACAATCCACTTCAGCTACAGGCAGTATGAAGCTATGGGGACCTAAAACCACGGAGCAGGACATTATTGACTTGTGTGTCACAGATCCAATTACTTTTAGCAATCACTGAAAGGATAAATGTGTATATCTCTTCAACAAAGCATGGTAGAAAATGACTGTCCAATGTGAGAAAGATCTTGTATTTCAATCACCTGCTATCACTGTCACACACAGACA